AAAGGCAACTATGCATTAAAAAAGTCCTTGTAACTTCTGAGCTATAAATGAGTTCAGTAAAACACAGGAGCAGCCCCAGCAGGAGCTGTCAGTCCAGACAGAGGAGAAAACCCCCAAACCCATCAGCAACGAGGCTCACTGCCCTGACCTGCCCTCCCAAAACCCCAGGAAGATCATAGTGTGGCTGTGTGCTTCAGTGCAAGAGGAACAATGAGCCTGTAGCCCTTGGATTTTGTAGAGTTTTTTTTAATTTTTCTTTTTTTTTTTTTTATTTTTCCTTTTTTTAATTTTTTGCACTACACTCCTTTCCCTCCAAAGTAAAACTTAAAGTGCTCCTAGTGCTTTGGAATTTAAGCAAGAACAGGGGCCACGAGTGTCACTTGCTGTCTTTGGAGGCTCATGGGGGGCAGAAGGAAGGGTGGCAGTGCCAGGCCCTTGACCAGCTTTGCCATGAGCCAAGCAGGGATTGAGATGGAGCAGCCTGTTCCTGCCAGGACACAGGGCAGCAGCTGGGCCTCAGCTCTGCCTCAGGGCTGTGCTCAGAGCTGCCAAAAAAAGCCAGGAGGGGCTGCAGGAGGGGAGCAGGGAGAGCACACACAGGGACACACAAGGGACACCGAGCTCAGCACAGCCCCAGGGCTGAGGGGGCCAGGCTGGCCAGGAGAGGATGCCCCAGGGCTGGGGTTGCTCTCACAGCTGCCAGGTGTTGTCCCAGCACAGCATTCCCTGTCCCCAGTGTCCCACCGGGCACGTTAAAAGCAGGCCCAGGGTGGATTTGCCCCATGGTCAGAGCAGCTCCCTCCCTGCACCAGAGCCTTTAGGCAAAGCTGCTCTGCTCAGCCCCAGGAATAACACCAAGCCTCATCTCCAAAGAGCCCAGGCCAGCTCAAACTTGGCTGTTTTGGGGGCCTGGCCCAGCCCTCCCACCCTGGGAGGCCCCAGGTCCACGGGGAGGGCAGAGTAAGGAGCACAAGGATCACATCCCTGTGGTTTCTGCCCCTTCCTTCAGCAACAGCAACGTTCCACAGGCAGCCACACACCCCCTGCACCTCAGTGGGGACCCAGCAGTTCACATTCACTTCTGGTTAAAGATCCTGGTTATCTGCTAAATGCAATTTAATACTGAGGGGGACGAGGGGAGCCCCACTGTGGGCAAGGAGGAGGGGGAGCAGGGCTGCTCCCAGCACCCAGGGGGTGCAGCAGCCCGGGATTCACACCCATTCCTGCACACACACTCCTGCTGAGCCAGCTCCAGCCTCTCCCTGCAGGGACAAGGCAGCCCTGTCCCCGTGCCAGCAGAGCAGTGACCTCCCTCAGCTCTGAGCCACAGGCCCAGGTGGGACCAGCAGGCAGGGCAAGACCCCCCGAGCCCCAGGGCTCACCCAGCCCTGCCAGGTGGGAATATGGCACAGAAAACTCCAGCATCCAGCACCAGGGGCCCTGCCCAGACAGAGCTCCCTGCTCCCAGGGAGGCAGGATGCAGAGGCCTTCAGGGAACACATCTCTGCAGAAGACAGTGCCTCTCCCAGCTCTGGATGTGCAATTAAAACAGTAACTAGAACAGTCTCAGGCCACGCACGGCCCGAGCGAGATTCGTTCCTTCCAAGTGTGCAGATAAAAGTGCAAATATGCATTTGATGTTTCTTTTCTAGTGAGGAAGCTCTGGTGCATTTAGCTGCCAACATCTTGAAGACCAGACCAAGGAAAAAAAACCAAAAAAACCAAAAAAAAAAAGCTTCCAGAGAGTTCAGCTTCACTTTGCTACATGGTACCTTAAAGTCACAGTTCTGTGACTGCAGTGCCCGCAGCCCCGCGCGGCTGCGGCAGTAGTGGAATGTTTGTGTCATGAGTTAATGCTTCAGGGGGCAGAGGAGGAAAAGAGGAAAAATCAGGTTACAATCCTATACACGAGTGCCACTGTGGGAAGAGAGAGGGAGCCTCCTCAGTTGTGTGGGGCAGCTGTGTGGGAGCTGTGCTGGTGCTGGTTGCTCTCCGAGCCGCAGAGCAAGGGCGCNATATAATATAATATAATATAATATAATATAATATAATATAATATAATATAATATAATATAATATAATATAATATAATATAATATAATATATATACAGTATGTTATATATTTTATTAGAATTATATTACATAATAGACAATATTATATATTATGTTATATATTATGTTATATATTATGTTATATATTATATTATATTAATTATATTATACTTATTAGTATTAATTATATTAGTATAGTGAATTAGTATATGAATAAATATTAGTATCGTTTATCACAGGGTGAAAAACTCAAGAGTTTTGGGTTTTTAGTTTGGAGGTGATAGAAAACAAGCTGGAGGATTTTGAGCATTATCTGATCTTCATCTACTCCATTTTTACAGTATTAATAACACAGAGTGATTGGTTAGAAAGAACCACAACACAAATATTGGGTGAACAAACAAATAATTAATTATTAGTAGAAAGGTTAAAATAAAATACATTCTAGAAGTTAATTAAACAAAATAACTTTAGAAGACCTTAAACCTTTGTGTCTTGTAATTTTTAGCACCTTTCTCTTTGTACACTAAGCCTGGTATTTTAACAACATTCTAAACTATTGATAAGAGAAAAAATAAAATTGGTAAGAGAAAAAAATAAACAGCAACCTAACCTGTAACTTTTTAGTCCCTTTCTCTTTGTACATTAAGTCTAGTATGTAAACAGCATACTAAACTATTGAAAAGAGAAAAAATAACAACCTAACCTGTAACTTTTTAGTTAAAAAATAAACAACATCCTAACCTGTAACTTTTTAGTCCCTTTCTCTTTGTACTAAACTATTGATAAGAGAAAAAATAAAATTGATAAGAGAAAATAATAAACAGCAACCTAACCTGTAACTTTTTAGTTAAAAAATAAACAACATCCTAACCTGTAACTTTTAGTACCTTTCTCTTTGTACATTAAGTCTAGTATGTAAACAGCATACTAAACTATTGATAAGAGAAAAAATAACAACCTAACCTGTAACTTTTTAGTTAAAAAATAAACCTGTAACTTTTAGTCCCTTTCTCTTTGTACATTAAGTCTAGTATGTAAACAACATACTAAACTATTGAAAAGAGAAAAAATCAACAACAACCTAAAGACCAAAAAATCAAAAAGTCCCATTTGTCTCTCAGTTCTACACAGAACTTTTTAGGGATGTCCCCATCAGAAGAGCCTTTGGGGGGTCCCACAAAACCCCCCCACCTCTCACTGCTTTGGGGTTTTGTTTTTCTGTCTCAGATTCGTGGTCAGAGAAGAAATGGGGCCCCAACGTCACGGAGTTCCAGCAGAGGTTTGATGAAGCCCTCACCAGCGGGGAAGGGCCCAGAAGACTCAAAAATCTCTATTTTCTGTACCTGATCGAGCTGAGGGCCCTCTCCAAAGTGCTGCCCTTCTTTGAGCGCCCTGGCTTCCAGCTGTACACGGGCAATGAGCGCCAGGATGCAGAGATGAAGCACCTGCTGCTGGAAATTCTCCATCTGGCCAAGTAATTGCACTCAGTGCCTGGGGACAGTTATTGA